ACGAACATGCCGAGGCAAAAAGGTCCTGACGAGGGTAGCCTCACCAACGGTGGTGGGACTATCTTCGAACTCTAGCAGTGCTTCTGCGAGCACTTCGCGGGGAAACACCTCGGGCCAGTAGGAGTGTTAGCCGCTCTTACTCACGCTGAAGTGGTAACGCTGCCTTCCCCACTTCAGGCCTTGGCCAAGGCTAGTGACCCACGTATCGCCCCGCAGACACATTCAGACCCACCGACGCTCTGTTCGAGAGATGTGTTTGAGGCCCTAGAAGAGTTAAAGACTGAGTGGTCAGGGAAGGACCCCAGAGACTCTTGGCGATGATCAGTAGAGGTCCAAAGGGTGTACATTTCATGGTAGAGGTTGATGTAGGTGGCCGCAAAGTTGGCGCCTTCGCAGGCATAGGCTCTACACGAAACTTCATCAGTCGTGCTTGTGTGGATAGACTGCGCTTAGGGGACCAAGTGCAGCGGCTTAGCGAAACTGTAGCTTCTACGCTAGCCAATAAGCACCAAATGTTGGTAAAAGACTATGTCAAGGACGTAGTCTGTACCTTCTCCTATGGAGGAGGGGAAGTGAGCCATAAAATTTCCTTCCTGGTTAGCGACGAACTGCCCTTTGACATGCTTCTAGGTATGTACTACCTCGAGGTCGCGCAACCGCAATTTGATTGGGATAGAAAGGTGTTGATTCACAAATTGCCCAACGGTAGATCTGTTAAATTGCAGAAGTTTAAAGCTAGCAAGCTGATAGAAAACTACGGGTGCATGTGTGCATCATCTTTTTATAACTATTATAAGCAAAATCGTGAGGAGGGCATGTATCTAGTATTTGTCTCTGAGAAAGGGGAGGCCGTAAAAACACCCCCAGAGATAAAAGCAGTCGTCGCTCAGTATTCAGACCTTTTCGAGGAGCCCACAGGCGTGGTAGAAAGTGAGGTTGTCCATGCAATAGAGGTTGTCCTAGGTAGTAAGGTACCTAGAGGACGATTCTATAGATGAGCTCTGAAGCCAGCTCAAGGAGCTCACAGAGAAGGGAGGGATTCGGCCTAGTACCTCCCCTTACGGCGCTCCAGTCTTATTCGTACCGAAGAAGGGAGGTACCTTGAGGATGTGCATTGACTATAGGGGCCTCAATGCCATCACCGTTAAGAACGTGGAGCCCCTACCCCGCATCGACGACCTCTTAGATAGAGTGCAGGGATGTCGGTACTTCACCAAGATAGATTTGAAGTCCGGATACCATCAAATTGCCATTAGACCTGAGGATCAGCACAAAACCGCATTCCAGACCAGGTACGCTCTGTACAAGTTTGTGGTGATGCCCTTTGGCCTATGCAATGCACCTGGTACGTTCCAGCACGCGATGAACAGGATTTTTCATGGCTACTTAGACAAGTATATCGTCGTGTACCTCGACAATATTCTTATCTTTAATAGGACTGTAGAGGAGCACGCTGAGCACTTGAAAATAGTGTTAGGTCTCCTAAGACAGCACCAGTACAAGGTTAACTTGGAAAAATGCGAGTTTGGTCGCACCAAGATCTTGTACTTGGGTCATGAAATCTCAGCAGATGGATTGAGGCCGGATGATGCCAAGGTGGTCAGCATACGTGACTGGCCCAGACCTCACTGACGTCAGATCGTTTTGGGGGATGACGGGCTACTATCGTCCGTTTGTTAAGAATTATAATACTATAGCATCCCCCCTAACAGATCTAACTCAACTTGACACCCCGTGGGCGTGGACTGAAGAGTGTGAGGCGGCCTTTAGAAAACTAAACTATGCCCTAACACACTATGAGGTTCTTAAACTTCCTGATCCTGATCAGCCCTTTGTCGTGACCACAGACGCCAGCCAATATGGCATAGGCGCGGTCCTTGCGCAAAAGGAGGGGGAAAAGTTGAGACCTATCGAGTATATGAGTAAAAAGATGTCATCTCATAAACTAGCCAGGTCCACTTATGAGCGTGAGCTCTATGCCCTGTACAGAGCGTTGGTACATTGGAGACACTATCTCCTTGGCAGATTCTTCTGTGTGAGATCTGACCATGAGACCTTGTGCTGGATTAAGACACAGCCTATGCTCTCTAGCGCACTCAAGCGATGGATTCAAGTGATAGACATGTATGACTATCAACTTGATCCAATCAAGGGAGAGTACAATAAGGTAGCTGATGCATTGTCACGTCGGGCCGATTACCTGAGCGCACTAGTTACTGAATTTGGCATATCTAATGACCTAACTCGAACATTGGTGGACGCCTATCAGCAAGATCCAGTTATGTCTAAGATCATCCGTAGATTCCGAGCGAAGGACAAAAAGACTTTGGACGAATTTACGATGGTAGATGGCTTGTTGTTTCTTGAAAAGGAAAGGAATAAAAGATTGTATTCCCAGTAGTGAGTCTTTGCGTAGTTTATTTCTAGGAGAATGCTATGATGCAACTGGTCATTTTGAATACAAGAAGATATCAGCAAACTTAGTACAGATATTTTGGTGGCCCTCTATGATGTTAGATGCCCAAAAATATGTAGAAACCTATCAGGTTTGCCAACGCAACAAACCAAGAACTCAAGCTCCGCTTGGGCTTCTCCAGCCCTTGCCGATTCCTGAAGGCCCTGGCAAGAGTGTTTCACCAGCAGGTTCGGGAAAAGACATAGTCTTCGTCATAGTAGACCGCTTCTCTAAGTTTGCAAGACTTATCGCTATGCCTGAATTTGCAAAGACTGACCATGTCATCAAACTCTTTATGGATAATAGGGTACGCGACTTCGGTCTACCCACGTCTATAGTTAGTGACAGGGATGTGAGATTTACAAGCGAACTTTGGAAGTCAAACGGACAAGCAGAACAGATGAACCGAGTAGTACAGCACCTGCTGCGGCACTATATTAAGCCAAGTCGGGATGATTGGGACGAGAAGCTACCTCTCGTCGCCAGCCTGTGTAACAATGTTATGCATAGTACCACCGGTAAGACTCCCAACCAACTGCATCTTGGTTGGAAGCCCATAACTGCACTAGATTTCCTACTACCGGAAAGTCAACCCACAGCAGCACCTGGCAGCATAGAATTCGTTGTCCAGTATGATCAGATGTTGCAACAGGCCGTTGAACATATCAAGAGATCTCAAGAAGCTATGATTGCATCTGAGAATAAGCATAGACGGCCCTCTTACTTTCAGGTAGGTGATAGAGTCTGGGTCAGATCATCTGAACTCGATCAAGAGCTAGGTATATCCCATAAATTGATGCCACAGTACTTCGGCCCATGGGAGGTTCTAGATGTGATTGGGGATCAGATACATGGACCCTCCTATGTGATCCGCATCCCACATCACTTACGTACATACCCTGTTTTTCACGCCTCAAAGTTGGCACCTTTCGCTGCAACTGAGCAGTTCCCATCAAGAAGATCAATGCTGCCCCCAACCATGGATGGCCAGGTGGACATCGACAAGATCGTGGAGCATCAAATGATGCCTGTTCCTCGACCATCAGGCAGAGGGCGCCCTCCTAAACCGAGAATGCAGTATTGTGTGAGCTTCAGACATCATCTCGATCCCAAGGAAGATCGCTGGTTCACTTGAGAACAGCTTCTAAGAACAGCACCTCAAGTGATAGCAGGCTATGAAAGAGAACTGAAAGGGAAGATGCCTGCAGGATAAGAGACTTCTCAGAGGACTAACGAAGTAAAGGAGGGAATGCGAGGATCTGGGTCCTCGACAGGCCTAATAGGCCCCGGTTGCAGTGGTGCCCGCCATAAGTGAAGGTGGGCCTAACATATTACAAGAGGCCTTTGACTGTCAATTTCATATTTGGGGTACAGGCGGTTGCGACACGCCAGTTGGTCGAGAGAAACACAGGCCGAGCAACCAAGACATTTCCACGGCCTTCTGGGCCTTTCCAAAGCATGCAGGCCCTGGACAAGAAACGCAGCCCCATACACTGACAGTTGGGAGGCCCAACCAACAGAGGCCCAGTAGCTGCAAAGTAGCACGCAGCATCCTGGGGCCTACCGGAAGCTTCTGGGACCAGGCCAAGTCCTGCCAGGCTGCGAAGCAGGCAGGCTCTTTCCATATAGGAAAGAAGAGCTCGCCACTCAGGCACTCGCATGCTAGCGGCAGCGCTGCTGGAGCAAATGCTCGTGGGCTGCTGCTGGCACTGAGAGGCGAGGTGCAGCACGTGCGGTCGTGCAGGGAAGCAGGGCGCTGCTGAGGGCAGCACCATAGCCCAGCCACCATAGCTGGTCGACTTGGACTACAGTGAGGCGCATGAGTGGTCTTCGGGTGTAAGGGAGGAAGACGTGGGTGTAAAGTCAGGGAAGGGCGAGGGATGATGATGATGATGATGTGAGGGCACATACCTTGTATTGGCGATGGTCTGCATTTGGGCGACATCTTCAAGTACTTCGGGTTGCTGATGTCAACAGTTGCATTGTCTACTAGTAGGCTGATCGTAGCTGTGTAGGAGTAGGCTGGGCGCTGAGCGTTAAGTAGGAGTGTGAAGGGACTGGACTCTTGTGTTGTGGCGGAGAGAGAAAACTCTCCTTGACATTGGTTTTCTACTACGAACCTCCATTGGTGTATTATTGGTGCAATGCTGCTCTCTAGACACAGTGTGACTATCTGGCTTTCAATGTGATGGTGTAATCTGGAATTTGTCATCTCGCTGTTGCTTATTTTCCTTGCAGTGGTGGTTCATGGACGGCGCTGTAGAGGTGCACAGGACGAAGGTAATTGGAATTGGCCATTGAGGTGCCAAAAAGAAGCAGCAAGTCCAGTAGAAGAGGGCAATTCATAGATAGCATCCGCAATCATTTCAACGACTTGGCTACCGATGTATCTTTCTTCCAAACTCAGCGCTGACCAATGTTGAGTGTTCATAAGTTGAATGATTTTGTAAAGCAGTAAGTGAAATGAAAACAGTGCAGGGCAAGACAGGAGCAAAATACAGCAACCAGAGAAAGGAAGAGTTCTCCAGCTGGGCAAAACACTCACCATTTGCTGAAGAAGGTTCTGAACCTGCACTCGAGAAACATCACCCACAGCAACCACCCAAAACAAAACACGTCAGATACGGTTATGGCCCGCAAGGCAAGAGGAAGCTGGCTTCCTCCTCGTGGTATTTGTCCTTCATACTTTTGAGCTCCCGATGTCTCCACACGACTCTTCAGGTACCACAACAAGAGCTGCAGTTCATCGACACCATATGGCTACAACTCGAATCACCACCACAAAGCAACTCCTCGGGTTTTCTATAAAGCACCACATCGATGTAACGAGCCATTCACATCAGAACCAAGCCATGTCGTGAGGCAAAGAAGAACCCAAAAGAGGCGAGCACCCCATAATAGAGACAAAGGCACATCTACAAGTCCTAAAAGGAAGAACGCCCATCTTCAGGAAAGGGAGAAGGGAGTTGATTTTCGCTCCACAAGTTCAATTGCAAGAATGGGACAGCTCCACAGGTTTTGCAGCAACGGGAAGAGAGAAGGGAGTAGCCACCTCAAAAACAAGTACGTTTGTGGAAGCCCAGTACCACAAGACCCGCTGCTGTGCCACATAAGTGGGCATAATACATACATGATGCTCACGTAGTTTGTAGTCAGTCCAGGTCTGCCATTCATGTCTTAATCTTATTCGACTTTCGACTGAAAGTGCTCTTCGCTTTGTCTTTCTGTTCGCCACCAGGGTGTAAGGCCCCTCGGGATATCCATTTCCAATCTAGGCAGGTGAGTTGTGTAAGCCCCACCCACGCACAAACACAATAACCTTTAAACCAACGTGAACAGGTAGGTCTGCCCGCTTCTAGGCCTCCCGGTCAGCATTGGCGACACCAGGAGACACCATTAGCACTTCACCACGGCCAACACCTCTCTCTCTCTCTCTCTCTCTCTCTCTCTCTCTCTCTCTCTCTCTCTCTCTCTCCCCACCCAACCCACCTTTCGAACCTGTCCTCGACTACCCGGGAACTCCAAAGAATATGATGAGAACAAGAGGTCATCATCCGGTTCGGCTCGGTGCTCTCGAGGTCTCCGTAATTTCCGTAAATTCTTGGTCAGTTTTTTCCCGGAAATTGAGGCCCTGTCCAATCATCCAATTTTGTTTTGTTCAGTAGCGCTAGCTTAATTGTCTCCAGTCGGGAGTTCCCGAGACAAATCCTAAAACCCAACCCTGTCACTTCTGTGGCGTCTGGAAACAACCGGGTCAATGTGACGGCCACATGCCTCTACTTAGCATAACCAATTCGTGCTCCGCTTGCAGGTCTCAAGATGCGGAGACTTTCTTTTTCTGCCAGCCACGACTCACGTCGCCCATCATAAACAAAACCAATAGTACTGGCAACGTATCCTGCATAAATACAAGGAGGATGTCTAGCCAATACAAGGAGGTCTTGTAGTAGAGGGTCGCATTTTATTTCGGGAATCAGTGCTTAGGGAGAAATTAGGAAGAAAGGATGTGCTTCCCGCAATTGGCAACATGCTTCGTCACCGACGACTGCACGTGTTTCCATCAATGGCCGGCGAGACTCTCAAGAGAGTCATCCATCCTCGACACTTCCTTTCGAAACTGTTCTGCTCAGTCGAGGAGAGTGACATGTTCATGGTCAGACACTTTTAAAGTTAAACAACTTCTGGAACTTGGCTTGGAGCTAAAAAAAAAAGGACAAAAAAAAGGATAGAAAAAGGACTTGCTTTGGCGGTAAAAGCCTATCTCATTGCAATTCTCCTCCCTCCTTGTGAAACTTGCACCTCGACAGAGTGGAAAAAGGAGGTGGCCATGTGCGTACACACTGCTCTGCATGATCCATTTTCCACTCCGTCGGCACCTGGATGCATACACGTCTTGTGATTGATTCCCGTACAGATTCATTTCGAGTTATAGAAGGATGCGATAGACTTACGAATACAGTCAATTCCGCCGTGCTTTGAGGGGCATTCGCATCAGCAGCGTCCAGTTTCACTGGCGGTTCCTGCAGTCAAAAGCAACATCATCAAATGATAACAACATGACGTTCTATTTAAGACATACATAGAGATTAGGGTATTTGGTATTGGGATTATGATGTCGGAATTAAACCCAAAAATACACTTGAGTCCTGCAGCTCAAAGCAAACTCAATAAACGATAATAACACAATTATTACAGGTTCTTGGTATTCAGATATGATGTCCGAGTTGCACCAGGGAGTTGAAATGTAAATGGAACCATACATCATCTCACAAATAGAACAGGTTTCCGCATTGAGATTGAGATTGAGATTGGGATCGGGATTGAGGCGAGTTGGTAGTGTAATTGGGAAATCAGGATTGGGATCGGGATCGGGATTGGAATTGAGATTGAGATTGGAACTGGGATCCGCACATGAGACTGAACGGGAGCAGAGAATAGCTGACAAGAATCGAGAGAGTCGAGACACTGGGAAATTCCTGGTTCAGAGGAAGAGAAGAGAAGCACCCACGCGGCAACGGCAACCACAACAGGGGCAACGTTGATATTTTCTTCCTTTCAATAAAAAAAATAACAACAATTTCGAGGAACCGATAGGAAACACCCAAGCGGCACGAGGGTTGGAGGAGGAGGAGGAGGAGGAGGAGGAGGAGGAGGAGGAGGAGGAAGGGACAGAACAAAAGAGAAAGAGCAGACGCGAGAGAGAGAGAGAGAGACCCAAGCAGAGCCGTCGCAATCGCAAATCGTGACATCTCTGACAGTTCGGTTGAGCAACTCAATAACCTTGACTGACTGAAACTGCCATCATCAGGTGTTCACGGAGTCATAGATCGTTCCTGGCATAATCAGTTCAAGGCCCGTGTACGCGGGAATGCGTTTCAGGCATCATCATCCCTACGCCAATTCAGGCCATGGATAGGGTAAGGGGGAAGAAGCAGCGCACCCAGAAGAGATCGAGGATATGGACGTGAACGATGGAAAGATTCAGGGGTGTCGATGGGGGGCGCATGCAATCAACGTGTCGGCAAACTGGCAGGATACAGGACACGGGCGAATGGGAAGCCGAAGGCGGGGCCCCATAAGGCGGGAAGAATCGGGATGCGAATAGAAAAAAAGGAAACGATGCGGAAACTCTGGCGCAGCAGGGGAGCGCGCCGGCAGCACAACAAGTGGGCGGAGAATGGGAAAACTGAGTGGAGACTCGAGCAGGGGGCGCGGAGGACGCCGGCGGCAGAACGGTTTGACGATAGATGTAAGGAACTGGGCGCAGACTCGCGCTGCAGGCGGGAAAGAAGCGCGAATGATGCTGACGGCAGCAGAAGCCTGGCAGCTAGCTTAGGAAATCGAGGACAGCAGAGGAAGAGGGGCGAAGGGAGGGGGAGGAGAGGGAAAGGAGGCGGGGAAGCGGAAGATGCCCAGGGAGGATAAACATCTTGTACTGATCGCGCTACACGGACTGAAATGCATCATCGTTAAGAGAGACAAGACCTGAAGGAAGAGAATGCGGACGGGAAGCAAGAGGGAGGCCATGTGATCAGCCATTCTTTTCTTGGGGTGAAAAAGAATGCAAGGATTCGAAGCAGAGGGGGAGGTAAACAGAAAAAGAGCGCACAACGGAGGTACAACAGCAGCGCAGCAGTAGCAAAAAAGAGCGAGCGCACGGGCCTGCGAGCGGCAAGAAAATGGAGTAAGATACCTGTCCACGGGAAAGAGGTTAAAAAAGAGGGACGAGCATCACAAGAAGAGAGTGGATCAAGGATCGGTGGAATTGGTGGGGGGAGGGAGGGGGCAGTGTAGCTTAGTTGGCATGAAAGACGGGGAATCAGGACAAGGGAAACGGTAGATGGAACGAACAGAAAGGACAGCGTGCGCAACGACAACCACAGGGCAAGAAATACATGGATCGCGTGAAGGACTGGGGACAACACCGGGATATTCATGACAGATGAGAAAGATCAACGATAAGCCGGAAGAACAGAGGGCCGTCGTGATCATATCGTCAAACAGAACCAGGTGTGGCGGGAAAGATGGACGACGGAGAAGAGTGTCACGTCACAGTTCACAAGCACTGCTGGGGTGTCGACTACATTTCCCAGCAGCAGAAAGGGTAGGAACGCGCCGAATGGAGATCTGAAAGATTACTCCTATGGAGCAAGGCATTTCAGCGCGAGAAGGTTTATTTATCAAACCGAAAGGAATGATAGGCCAAAGAGACCCAGCGCGGGCGGGCTGTGAGCGGAAAGGGGGGAGGCAGGGGTTCGCAGGCGGAGGTCTTGAATGGAAAGCCTGGCGAAAGAGAGGAAAAAGGGAGGGAGAACAAGGATGACGCATCAAGAAGGGGGAGACGTCACATTCGAGGGAGACGTTAGCGCGAGAATGACGCCGCTGGGAGGCGGGGGGGGGGGGGGGGGGGGGGGGGCCGGGGGGGGGACGGGGGTGACGGAGGGGGGGGGGGGGGGGAAGTTCGACAAAGTGGGGGAGGAGGAGGAAGAAATGAAACGGAGAACGACGGGCGACAATGCGGGGCCGATGAAGTCAAAAGTTAAAAGTCAAACGTCAAAAGTCAAAATGTAAGAAGACAGAGGGTAGGAGCGGGCGGAGTGCAGTAGGCGGGAGGAGAAGCACTGGGAGCCAGACGAGGCGATCGTAAAACATGGTGGAAAAACAGGGCGCCAAGAGCGGGTGAGGGAGGGAGTTGCGCAAGTTGTTCACTCTCGCGCTTTCTGTTGACGCGACGCAACAGAGAAGGTGAGCGCCTAGCGACGCGGACATGGCACGTGTTTGTTGAACTGGGCGCGTTGTTTACTGAGACAATCAGCCCATCACAAGGTAATGGACAGCGAGCAAGGAACTGAGGCAAGAGAGCAAGGGCTGCGTAAACAACGCGCCATTCCATTGACTTGAAAAAGACGCGCCACCAAGCCCGATCCAACCCCTCAGGCTTGCACAACCCTTCTGTCTGTCTGTTATTATAGATCACAAAACAGAACAAAGAAAAAGCGCTGAAAGGAGATGCGTCGCAGACCGGAGTGAGAGTGAGAGAATATGAACGACTTGCGATCCTCGACGAGGCGAATCAACCGACGACAGACAGCTAATGACAGGAGAACGAAAAGGGTGAGGGACCAATGAAGGCGCGGGGAAGCGAACCTAACCTCTCGTGAATGCTGTGGCCGGTCCATCCCCTCTTGTCCCTGCCTAGGTAGCTGTCAACAATGTAGATTTTGTAAGGCGGCTGCCGATTGATTGACACGTTAAGTCCTTGACAAGGGCTGTCACTCTAGTTGCCACTCACTCCTAAGCACGATCTCAACGATCAAGAGCTCGCCGGACACTGCTTTCCTCGTGTCTGACGTGGCCCGACTCAGTCCACTCTTCCCACCTTGCTCTACCACCTGCCCGGCGAGTGCCACGTCGGCAGCCTGATGCCCCCACACGAGTTCCCCTCCAGAGGGTCACTGCCGCGCATGCGACTTACCCTCCTCGAGAAGCTTGCCTGATGCCGCGTAAACTGCGCCACTTGTGTCTCCTACCCTCATCGATCAAAAACAATTAAAATCGTTGGGGAACATGCACTGGGGGCTATTTCGCAGCCCTAAGGCTGGGTTATAGTGGGCTTCCACGGCTGTGTCAAGGTGTGGCATTTTCAGGGGCGGCCGACCAGGAGGCAAAGTGGGTTCTTAGGGGACGAAAAAATTTGGGGGACCCGTCCTTGGCAAGATTGCGGACTACCTACAGCTAGCTCCGGCTGAAAAAACGGAGGACAAGTCCTTGGGTGGAAGTGGACCCCAAAAAAGAAGTGGGGGGCGTTGGACCGGTCCTTGGGTAGAAGCAGACCCCCAAAAGAAGTGAGGGCATGTGCACTGCAAAAGGGCCCTCACGCCCAGGCGTTGAAGCCCGTCTTCTCAAAACAGGGACGTCAGGCACAACGAAACAGGCGTTTTGCAAGAGGCAACTTTGGCGATTTTCTGCGATTTTCTGTGAATCGGAAATTTTGAAAATCCATAGATGAGATCGTGGGCCTCGACCTACTAGCATCGCGTACAAGGTGTGTGGCGGCCGTTTCTTTTGAAAAAAACATATAAAGAATCCTTTTTTTTATTTTCAGAAATGCAAAGAAAACAAGGCCAACGCTATGCATCACACTTCCACCAACCCGATACATCTGCATGCGACCTTCTCCCCGGCCTGTTCGCAGTCTTCCACAGAAATCTCAATATTCTCAATTTCTGCAAAAAAAAATAGCAAGGCGCGAAGCTTCAAAAACACCCCCCCCAAAAAAAACCATAGTATTGACCCTTCGCGCCAACGCAAAGTGGCCAACTAAATGGCCAACAAATGATTAAGAAAACAATTCTACTGGCCGACAGGAAGCTGCATCCATGAAAACAAAGACAATCCACACTAGCAGTGGATACACGAAATGATCAACGACTCACGCATATCACAGACGGCCGCACGTGGTGGAAAACGGCGGAGCACAAGCGTAAATCGGACGTAGTGGGACGAGGCCCCTTCGACACATTTTTCATTTTTTGCCACTCAACCATATGTGGGCCAAACTAAAAAAGTACTCCAAATTCAGTGAGTTGTCGCGCTCATAAGAATACGTGAAAAAACTTGAAAATTGGAGTACTCGTAGATTTTGTTGTAATCTTTCCAAGAAAAATACTCAATAAATTTTGAGAAATCATTCCAACTGTGAAATAGATCGCGGCCACAATTTGACCCATGTTCCAATTTTGCTTGACCTACCCTGGGGCCACGGGTGCGCATGTGATAAGCTCAGATCCGAACCGCGCAGCTTGCCGTATCCCTGAGGAAAAATCCCGCGGAAACCCCGAAGTACGGACGCGGATAGAAAGGGTTTTTTCTTTCTTTTTGCTTTTGTTTTCTTTTTGAAACGGTTTTTTCATTTTGTTTGGTTAATAACTCCCGCGGGCGAATAACAGCCGCGGTATGAAAACCAAGAAACGGGTGCGGTTAGGACTTTTTGAATTTTTGCGCGCGCGCCCAAGCTCCAGTTTCTTCGCGCGTCTCGCATCCCCGTTTCTTGCTTTTCATCCTCGCACCATCTTCCCTTCTTGCTGCGCGCGTTTTCCCCATGCAGGACTCTTCGTCTTCCCCTACGCCCAGCTTGATCCTTAGCTGCATAGTTGGGATGCTCGGATCAATGTGGAAAGCGGGAAATCGCGCACCACTTGGACGAACACCCCAATCACGTAGCCATGCAATCTCGCGGATCGAACCCTCTAACTCCCCACCCCTCTCTCCTGTCCTGCTCATCTACACCCTGCGCTGCCCGCACCTCGCGCTGTTAACCCGCCGCCTCCCACGCTATAAATTTGCACAACCCTCTCCTCTCCCTCTCTGTGATCTCAGCTGCAATGCTGCGTGAGCTATGTGCGAGAGTTCGCGGCGCCGAACAGGCTCGACGAGCCCAAGGACGGGCGGAGTGACGACGTGGGGTGGACCCCGCGGTAGTCTCAGGGCGAAGCAGTCGGAAGGACCGAGCAGTGGTGGGGATTGGACGCCGGCCGCGGCAGGGCTTTGTGGCTATGGTGGTCGGTGGTCTTGGGAAGTTTTGAAGGCTGCGCCTGGGGGCAGAGGTTAATTGAATTTTTTGTGTACAAGAAGGACTCGATTTTATCTCCATTGCTGCTTTGTCTATGCATGTCGTGTGCGTAAGCCCCGAGAGATGGGAGTTGGTTATGAGCATGAGTGACGTCGAAGGTCCATGGATGATTAGATGTCCTGACAAGGGTTGTTGATTGCATACATGTATGTGTGTATGTACTCGTCCGGGCGGGGATGGGGAAACTGAACTGGGGGACCGTCTGCTTAGGAGTATGAGTGTGTTGATCCGGTTGTTCCCCTCCCCTCCGCGGCCTTTCCTGCGCTCCCGCGCGGGCTTGGCGTAACTCTCTTTCTCTTCCTTTTCGATCGCCTTCCTCTTGAACTAACAGCCATCGCCTTTAAAAGTTTCTCGTCCCCGTACCGGTGACGTCAACCGCCTGCGTCCGCGCGGACGATCGACGCCCCCGCCAAGGTGAGAAAGCTTAGATTTCGTCATCCTCCCCCTACGCACCCACTTTCGAGAGAGAAGAGTTGCGACGTTTGTTGTATGGATTCGGTGTTGGTTCGGATGACCGGGAACGTGGGATCTTGCCCGTGTTCACCACGTACCTCCGATCGTCTCATTTCGCTACTGACCTTCCCCATCACAGATGACGACAGCGTCTACTGCGATGCGGACGTACGGCGCGCGCTGAGGCGGACGGAGCAAGTGTGTTGGCAAGACCCGCCTCGGGCTTGTGAGATAAGGGGGAACGGGTTTGTGTTGATTGATCGCTTTGATTGCCTGACTCTAATATTGCCTTATACGGGTTTAACGGTGTTGCCCTGGTCGGCCGCTCACGCCGCGTGGCGACCGCAGTTTGATTGTCGCTGGTGTC